AAAAAAAAAGAACAGAGAAAGGAGACACTACATGGTTCAAAATCAAGAAGGGGTCCATCAGGGATGTATTTTGTCTCCATACCTTCTAAAACTGTAGGCAGAGCAGATCATCCGAGACGCTGGGCTGTACAAGGAGGAATGTGTCATCAGGATTGGTGAAAGAGTCTTCGACAACCCGCATTATGTGGGTGACACAACCCTGCTTGCTGAAACTGAGGAGGACCTGAAGTGCTTGCTGCAGAAGGTCAAGGACTACAGCCTTCAATATGGATTGAAGCTCAACATCAAGACAACAAAGATTCTCACCACTGGGCCAATGGGCAGCATCAGTATGGATGGTGAAGAGATTGATATAGTTAATAGTTTTAGTTTACTTGGTGCCACAGTCAACACTCTTGGTACCAATAGCCAGGAAAAGAAGATCCGAATTGCACTGGGAAAGTCAGCTGTGAGGGACCTCTCAAGAATACTGAAGAACAACGATGTCAGGCTGGAGACTAAGGTGCATCTGATCCAGACTATAATCTTCGCAGTTACATGCTGTGCATCGGAGAGTTGGACAGTGAATAGGAATGATAGAGCATTGATGCTTTTGAGCTGTGGTGCTGGAGAAGAGTGTTGGATATACCATAGACTGCTAGGAGAACAAACAGGTTTGTCCTGGAGAGGGTGAAGCCAGAATGTGCTCTGCAGTCAAAGATTCTGAAGCTTCGTCTGGCATACTTTGGGCATGTTGCAAGGAGGGACTGGTCATTGGAGAGGGACACTATGTTTGGGAGAGTGGAGGGATGCTGCAGGAGAGGAAGGCCCTCGATGAGATAGATTGATTCTGTGATTGGTGTGGTGGGAATGAGTGTGTTTGAGATGGCGAGATTGGCACAGTATAGAATGGCATTTAGGGCTCTTATACATAGGGTCACTATGAGTTTCAAGCAACTCAATAGCACATTACAACAACAAGTGTAGTCATGAAAATACTGTTCTAAGCAGCAGGTTTTTCCATAGCTGATATTATAATACAACCATGAGTGGTCACCTGATTTTTAGACAGGAATTGAATTTGACTTTGTGCATGCATTTATATCAGCACAGTAAAAGCAGGTATGTATTCGAGATACACTTGGAAGCCACATTCATGGTAAGGCTCTGAGTAAGGGGGTTAGTTGGATACTGTCTGATATTTCTTCACAGAAAAAATATTAGCTCTGGCACAAGGAAATGCCTATTGGAGACTTACATAGGCATGCAATCTTTTACTGCAGTACTTTTCTAAAATGCATCTTTGCCCACCCCATTATTTGATACTCTTTTGGAATTTTTGTAGAGAATCGAAATAACAGACCAGGAGTTGAGACCAATTTTAAAATTCATTGATGAAAATACTGGGCAAGAATTAGCAGAATTTAGATGGGCTCTGATATTTGTGTCTAGACCTGGGATTCTGATCCACTGAGATGAAACGGTGGGAGGAGAGGTTGGTATTTATGGGAAGGTAGCTGAATCTCTGTGGAATCAGCAGGCCATCCTGCAAGCACTGTGCCCTTGATCAGGGTGAAAAGTGGACTTGACAGGAGGTTTTCCACCCAATAGTACTTCTTTTGATAATTAAGTAGGAAGGCGTTCACACAGAGAACCTGTTAAGACAATAGTTGCATTTGTTGTCTGTTTGAGGTATTCTTGGAGTCTCTGGATACTGCAAATGTTTGAGACCCTTGGCTTCTAATGGGTAGATTGGAGTTTAAGTTGCTTCAGAGGTGCTTTGGGGGAAAGGCCTGGTGATCTATTCGGAAAATTTGATCAGGAATTTAGTGGTTCTACTTTGACACACATGCGGTCTCCACCACACAGACTGAACTGGACAACTGGTTTATGTGATACTTTCATATTGTTGTTGTTGTTGTTGTGTACCATCGAGTCACTTGCGACTCATAGCGACCCTATGTACAACAGCCCTAAATTCTGCTCTGTCCTGTGCCAATCGCACTGTCTCTGACACTCCCATCCCGATTATTTCAGTCACTGAATCAATCCACCTCATAGAGGGCCTTCCCCTCCTGCGCCGTCCCTCCACCCTTCCAAGCATGATGTCCTTCTCCAAGAACCAGTCTCTCCTCACAACATGTCCAAAGTATGTTAGATGGAGCCTCAGAATCCTTGCCTCCAAGGAGCCACCCGGTTTAACCCTTTCCAGGACAAATCTGTTTGTTTTCCTAGCAGTCCATGGTATTCTCAATACTCTTCTCCAGCAACACAGCTCAAAGGCATCAATTCTCCTTCTATCCTCCTTGGTCATTGTCCAACTCTCTGATGCATAACAAGTGATTGCGAAGATCATGGCCTGTATCAGATGCACCTTAGTCTCCAAATCCATATAGTTAGGATCTTTGTTTTTCTAGATTAGAAGTAACTAATACCTGTCATTGATGGTTTTGCAGCTTCACCTGATCCACTGGAACTCCACCCTGTTTGGCAGTATTGATGAGGCGGTGGGAAAGCCACATGGAATAGCTATCATTGCTTTGTTTGTACAGGTAAATACTCTTCTATTATGGTCATTGTGTTATTTATATGTGCTAAGTTTTAGTGTTGCTATTCTAAAAGTACACAGTTTGAATCCAGAATTGTTCAGGATGAGCAGTCGCCTCCCTATTTGATTGATTGCCTCTGAAAAACTGTGGGAGGGTCAACTATGGGTCGACTCTGACTGACAGCAAGCAACAACACAGCAACACCATTTTAAAACATTTTTTAACTAATTTTGCATACTGTTGTCATTGTCATTGTTGTTATGTGCCATCGAGTTACCTGCAGCTCCTAGTGACCCTACGTACAACAGCCCTAAACTCTGCTCTATCCTGTGCCAATCTTACTGCTCTGACACACCTACCCTGATTACCCCAGTCACTGAATCAGTCGACCTCGTAGAGGGTCTTCCTCTCCTGTGCTGTCCCTCCACCCACCCAAGCATGACTTCCTTCACCAAGGACTGGTCCCACCTTGCAGCATGTCCAAAGTAAGTCAGATGAAGCTTCAGAATCCTTGCCTCTAAGGGAAGGCCTGGTGTAACCCTCTCCTGGATGAACCTGTTTGTTTTCTTAGCATTCCATGGTATATTCAATATTCTTCTCCCAACACCACAGCTCAAAGGCATCAGTTTTCCTTCTATCCTCACTAGTCATTGTCCAGCTCTCTGTTGGGTCACCTTTTTTTGAAATCCCTTCAAGTCAATTGGCCAAGTGGTTTCCCTCCAGATTTCTTGGCACAACTTGGTGAGCACATCAATTAGTTAAAATACATCAATTGGTATACCATCTATTCCTGGGACCTTATTTTTTTGCCAGTTCCTTCAGAGCAGCTTGAACTTCCTCCTTCATCACCATAGGCTCTTGCTCATGTGTTGTTTCATGAAATTCTTTTGTGTCTGCCAATTCCTTTTGGTACAGCCATGATCATTTAATATTCTGTCCAAAGCATCCTTAAATATAGCAACTCAAGGTTTGAATTTGTTCTTCAGTTCCTTGAGCTTAAGAAATGCTGAGCACATTTGGTCCTTTTGATTTTATGCCTCCTGCTCCTTGCACTTTTTTTGGTTTATTCTTTTGTTGACTTTATTACTTAGAAGTGACATTAGACACAGGGATCACTCAAAAAGTGTAAACTACATCTTGGTAGACAGTGTTTGGTGGTGCTTTCCAATTAAAACAAGCTTGGAAGCAGGAGTAGCGTCCACGTCTGAAATGGCTTACCTCCAGAAAACTGTATGAACAGTGCTCAGGTCTTTCATTTATAGGGTCGCTATGAGTCATCTACAACTCAATGGCACCTAACAACAATAACAATGACAACATAGAGAGGGCTATGTTGGCCTAGTGGACAGAAAGTTATGCTACCAAGCCCACGGTGGGTGATTTTAATCTGTGGCAACTCCAGCCTGGTTTAAATTTTTTTTTTTTTAAAAAAAAACATTCTTCTATGTGGTATAGCACTGGTCTGTACATTGCTGTTCAGAGGTAACTCATGGTTTTTGTGATGCTAAACACTGTGACACTGATGTGCCAAGTGCAATAATGATTACCCACAGTGGACAGTGTTTAGTGGAGCTTCCCAATTAAAACAAGCTTGGAAGCAGGAATGGCATCCACTTCTGAAATGGCTTGCTTCCGGAAATTCTATGAACAGTGCTCAGGTCTTTCATTCATAGGGTCGCTATGAGTCATCTACAACTCGACAACACCTAACAACAACAACAACAACAACAACAAATCTTTGTGAAGCATAAGGATGTAGCAGTATTTATTGGTGAAAAGAGTTCATTTGTTTATTAGAAATTTTCTGTGTGTTGCGTTCAGGGTGCAGTGTGTGAGAGGTCAATTTTGTTTGAGTCTTGCAACTCACCATATGATTGGGTGATTGGAAATTTTAGGTCCCTTTCTTTTGTTTTATTGAAGTGTTCAGAGCTGTTAAGGGTGGTCAAGGTCACACAAGTATTTACTGTTATGAATCCGAACCAGAAAGCAGATTTCTAGCCCTGTAGCCACTCTTCTAGCTTGTTTCTTGGATTGCCTGTGATTATAGTGGTTCTTAATCTTGGATAATTTAATATTCCAAAGTTAATGGTTTAATAGGCTTTATTAGACTTATTTCTTTGTGGAATGTATTTCAGTAGTGCTGTTAAAACCAACAGCATTCTTTCATAAACAACTCTGAGCAATTTTTAAATTAATGTTTATTAAGCTGGGATTTTATTTATTTATTTATTAATTTATGAATGAATGAATGAATGAATGAGCAAAAAGTTGTTTGTTAAGAAAGATACATCTCCAAGTAGAAGACATGGCTCTCTCAGATGCAGAGGTGGAAAAAGGCTTAATTAAAGTTCATACATAGCCATCTAACTTTTACGTCTTAATGTTTAAAAGCAGTCTCTTGAGTGCTTATTTTGAGAGTCTACCAGGGAGTGTAGCTACTCATATATCCTTGACCAAAGAACTGTCTTCCTTCTATTGGGAATGGTCCTCCTCTTCAACCAGGTGCACAGCTTTGGGAGAGATGCACATAGAGTTGTTAGGAAAGAAGGAGATATCCGCCTAGCCAGCCAGGTCAGCCAAAACAACCCTGGTGATTAATGGGGTGACAGTTGTCGCAACCAGATCACCTTCACATCCTTAAAGTAGTCTCTTGAAAATATGACACATAATTCTTCTAAGAGATGGTTAAACTGTTGCTATATGCAGATGATATGATAGTATACACAGAAAATTCCAAGGACTCAACAACAACAAAAAAAACCTGTTAGAGTTAGTAAGTCATATTAGTAGAGTGGCAGGATATAAGATCAATATCCAAAAATCAGTAGTATTCCTCTTCATTAACAGAGAGAACTCAGAAAAGGAGATGAAGACAGCAATACCATTCACGATAGCCAACCACAAATTGAGATACCTGGAAGTGAACCTTACTAGTGATACAAAAAATCTAAACAAAGAAAACTCCATTTCCTCAGGACACATAAACAAAAAGACCTAAAGAAATGGGAAAATGTGCCCGGTTCATGAATTGGAAGACTCAATATCATGAAAATAACAATTCTACCCAAAAGCAATCTACGTGCTCAACACAATCCCAATCAGTATACCAAATTAATTTTTCAAGGAGATTTAAAGGGAAATTGTCAAGTTTATTTGGAGAAGCAAGAGACCCCGAATAAGCAAAACACTTCTGAGAAACACAAACGAGGTGGAGGCATAGCACTCCCTGACCTCAAAACCTACTACCCAGCAGTGATATCCAAAACAGCATGGTACTGGTACCATGACAGGCACATAGACCAATGGAACAAAATTGAGAACCCAGAAATAGACCCAGCTGTCTATGGTAAACTGATATTCAGCAAAGAAATCAAAGCTATCAAATGGGAAAATGACAACCTCTTCAACAAATAGTGCTGGCAAAACTGGACTTCCACTTGCAGAAAGCTGAAACCGGGTCCACATCTCACACCATGCACAAAAATCAGCTCTAGGTAGGTCAGATACCTGAGAGTAAAGCCACAAACCATAAAGTTCATAAGAGACAAACTGAGATCAAGCTTAGAAGCCCTAGTTTATGGTATAGAGACTGCTAAATACAGCCAAAAATGTACACTCTGAAGAGAATAAAATTGAAGAATGCCACCTTCTAAAGATTAAATCCCTGATGAATGTGACCTTCTAAAGATTAAATCCCTATGCACATCAAGAAAGTTTTCCAACAAGGTGAAAAGAGAACCTACCTACCATGTGGGAACAATTTGGTAATACCATCTCAGACAAGAGTATCATAACAAAAGTCTACAGAATACAAAATGGGCAAAAGACCTGGAAAGAATTTTCACAGAGGAAAATATTTGGATGACAAACAGACCCATGAAGTAATGCTCCAAATCACTGGCAATAAGAGAGATGCAAATTAAAACCACAATGAGATACCATCTCACTCTAGTAACAGTGGCAAAGTTTAACAGGACAGCAAGTAATAAACATTGGAGAAGATGTGGCAAGATAGGAAGTCATACATTGTTGGTGGGATTATAAAATAGTACAACTATTCTGGAAGGCAGTTTGGTGCTTCCTCAAAAAGCTGAACATAGAAATTCCATATACTTCCATGCAATTCCACTACTTGGACTATACCCTGAGAAAATGAGAACTGAGGCACAAATGGACACTTATATAACAATGTTCATAGCAGTGTTATTTACCATCACAAGAACATAGAAACAGCCCAGATGTCCAACCACAATCTGATGGATTGAGAAATTATTGTACATTCATACAGTGGAATACTATGCAGCACGCAGGAGCAATGGTTTTATAAATTATTACCTAACTTGGGAGCGAGTAGAGAACATTGTGCTGAGTGAACTAACTCAGCTCCGTAAGGACAAATACTGTAAAAAACCATTATTGTAGAATAGGTATGAAGGCCCAAAGGGGTGAGAGGGTAAAAGCAGAGGGATGAGGGTGTGTGTGGGGGGGGCCGGGGATTAATAATGGGGTTGTACCAGTTGAAGAGTGGGGGGGGTGAGAAATTGGACAAATCTGGTCTGAAAAACAGTATGCTCAAATTTTGTAAATAAATTAGTATAAATAATAGTAAAGTTAATAAAAAATTCACCTTAAGAAGTTGATCTAGTAGAAAACAATGAATATTTTCTCATTAAAAAATAAGAATAAAGTAGAATACAAAGTAACCAGGCAGTCATAGTAGAAGAACATATTGATTTGCTTTTTTGGATTGGTACTACATATATGTCCGGGGATCGAATTAAATGTAGATAATTCATACATACTCATATGCAAGTTCAAGCTGAAGCTGAGGAAAATTAAACCAAATCCACAGGAGCCAAAATATGACGTTGATTTCATCCCACCTGAATTTCAGAATCATCTCAGGAACAGGTTTGGGACCTTGAACACCAATGAGCGAAGACCAGATGAGTTGTGGGAGGATGTAAAAAGTATCATCCAGGAAGAGTGAAAACGGTCATTAC